GAGTGGGGCTTCGAAGAGGATGTCTTGGGGTGTGGCCTCTTAATTTAAACGTCTATTTAAGTGGAATCACAAAGGAAGTCCAGTTGAGGATTTCTTAGGGTGTGGTGTTTTAGTGCAAACCTCAAATTACATTTCATTACGAAGCGGGGCCAGAGGAGACTTTCACAGGGTGTGGTCGGTAAAATAAAATTCCAAAGAGGTAGTAACGAATGAGGCTTAGAAGGGCGTGGCCTCTTAATTGTTTTACTTGGTTTGGTTTTACGAACGAAGCTGTGGCTTTACCATACACAGGTCTTAGGGTGTGGCCTTTTAAATTCTGTCCAAAGGGGTGTGGCCTCTAAACTTAAAATTCAATTTAAGTGGAATTCCAAACGAGTCCAGATGAGGATTTCTTAGGGTGTGGCGTTTTAATACAAACCTCAAATAACATTGTAGTATGAAGCGAGGCCAGGGGAGAATTTCATAGGGTGTGGTCTGCAAAATAGAATTCCAAATAGGTATTAACCAATGAAGCTTAGAAGAGGATGTCTTGTGGCGGGGCCTCTTAATTTGTTTGTTTGACTTGGGTTTAATTTACTAACGAAGCTATGGCTTTATCATATACAAGTCTATTGACATTTCACTAATAGGCACCAGAAGAGGATTTCATAGGGCCTAGCGGTTAAATATGGAATTGTAAGTACATTCAAATACAAATGGGGGCTCATGATATAAATTTCTGTCCAAGAGTTACATACGAACCTAGCCTAGGTCACAACTTCTTAGGGTGTGGGCTTCTTACCTAGAATTGTAAACTTCTTACGAGATTCTGTTACGAACAGGCCCCAGAATGGTGTGGCTTTTTTTAATACAAGCATCTTGGCAAATCGAAAATAAGTCTAATTACAAACGAAGGTCTAATGAGGATTTCTTGGCGTGTGGCTTTGTAATACAGAATTCTAATTAATCTTCATTACAAATAGGGGCCAGAAAGGGATTTCATAGGGTATGGTCTGCAATATAGAATTCTAACTCGGTTTCATTGCGAGGAGGAGGTCCTGGGGTTGGCCTCTGAATATACACTTGCTTTACTTGGGTTCAATTACGAACGAAGCCCAGAAGAGGATTTCTTAGGGTGTGGGCTTACAATATGAAATCAAATTGCGTTTCATTACGAATGGGGCCAGCGAAAGATTTCACAAGGTGTGGGAAAAACAAAAATGTTCTAAATAGGTATTAATCAATGAGGCTTAGAAGAGGATGTCTTGGGGCTGGGCCTCTTAATATTTTTTTACTTGGGTTAATTACGAACGAAGCTGTGGCTTTATCAGACACAAGTCTACTGAAATTTCATTAAGAGGGCCCAGAAGAGGATTTCATAGGGTGTGGCCTTTAAGTATAGAATTCTTTTCGTAGGGTGTGGGCTTCTTATGTAGAAGCATTTTCTCAATAAAATAGGAAGGAAGCCCAGATGAGGATTTCTGAGGCTGTAACCTCTGCAGATAAAGCTCTTGTGAGATTTTGTTACGGACAGGCAGGCCCCAGAAGAGGATTTCATAGGGTGCGGCTTTTAATTGGCAAATTTAGATTTCTAAAAAAAGTTTTACTACGAATGAGGCCAGTGGCCTTTTAATTTTCATTCCGACTTAGGTTTAAATCTCGCTTCGATGGGCCCGAAAGGCCTTTCGACCTAGATCATGGGGGGGGGGGTGAGCATATATATCTATAATGTTGACCTCGAATTAATGAACCCCCCCCCCCCCGTCTCAATTGATTTTTGTTCCCCCCGGGGTGGGGGGGGGGGGGTCGGGCAGTCCGGAGCTGCCACCAAGCCCTAACCTACCCAAAACGGCCCATGGGAGGAAAAAAATCGGGCCCCGGACCGGGGTTCCTGAATTGGGGGGGGGGGGGGGGGGGGTTGTAATTGAGGTCCGGGCTTGGGGGTTCTCAGCTGAGGGTTTGGTTTATAAATCTAAGGTTAACATTGCTGTAATCAGCCCCAAAAAAGCCGATTCTAACGCATTCTTCACATCCTTTAAAGTATGAGTCTTGAATGATATTCTTGTGAGTGTACAAAACACTCTGTTTCACCTTCATCGCACAGACTTCGGTCCGCATACCCCCAAAAAAGCCGATTCTAATTATTCAGGCCCCCTAGAGTATAGGGCTTCGGGTGGAACTCATTGTCCTGGTTTTTTAATACATAGGGTTTAGGGTTTAGGGTTTAGGGTTTAGGGTTTAGGGTTTAGGGTTTAGGGTTTAGGGTTTAGGGTTTAGGGTTTAGGGTTTAGGGTTTAGGGTTTAGGATTCACAGGGTTTAGGGAGGTCTGGGCTTCAATCCCCACACAGGAGGTTCATGCGGGTGCCTTCTAGGCTGCTTAAGTGGCCTCCTACTTGGAGGTTCATGGAAACTTTACTAGGACCCAGAGTAGGCCCTTTATCCCTTTGTTAAGGGTTTAGGTTCCCTTATAAGCCGCTTTAGACCAGAAGCACCGGTCACTATTATAAGGCGGCCCCTCCTATGCCCAAACTTCCCCCAAACCCTAAAACCCTAAAACCCTAAAACCCTAAAACCCTAAAACCCTAAAACCCTAAAACCCTAAAACCCTAAAACCCTAAAACCCTAAAACCCTCAAACCCTCAAACCCTCAAACCCTCAAACCCTCAAACCCTAAAACCCTAAAACCCTAAAACCCTAAAAACCCTAAAACCCTAAACCCTAAACCCTAAACCCTAAACCCGCCACTGTCCCAGGAGCCAGGAGCCCCTGATCGAGCCGTGCAGCTGTGCGGGCACCATCCGCTGCGCGCACTCGAGCTGCCTGGGGGCCCAGAGGGGGCCAAAAAGTTGAATAAGTAACATACTAGGATGCCCAGTAGTGCCCTTATTCCCTTTTTGGGGGGTTTAGGTTCCCTTAGAAACCCCTTTTAAGCAAAAACGGTCACCCTTTTTAATCCCAGGTTACTGGGCAACCCAGCATAGGGGCCTTAATAAGTACAAAAGGGTTTTGGGGGGATTGTTATATATATATATATATACATATATATGTATCTGTATGTATGTATATATATATATATATAAGTAATTTTGGGGCCTCAATAATTGGAATAGGGCTTTTTGGGGGTTATTGTAGTACATTTGTAAAGGGACCATAAGGGAATATGAGCAATTGTTCCGACCCCTATATTGGTTGGGCAGGGGCTGGGAGGCTGGCTTTGCCCGCGCTGTCGGGAGAGCGAGCGAGTGAGACAGTGAGACAGAGAGAGAGAGAGAGAGAGAGAGAGAGAGAGAGCCAGAAAAAGAGAGAGAGAGAGAGACGGAGAGAGACAGAAAGACACAGAGAGCGGAAGAGAGAGAGAGAGAGGAGGGGGGGGGTGGGGGAGAGATTGGGATTTAGGATCTATATATAGTTCAGGGTTTTGGGTTCAAGGTTCATGCAGGGTTTAGGCTATCGTTTGGGGTTTAGGCCTCTTGGCGTATATAGGTTCGAGAACGTCGAGGCAAGGCTGCATCTGGTCGAACTTTTATGGGGTTCTTAAGGGAGGGGGAACCTTAGGGTTTAGGGTTTAGGGTTTAGGGTTTAGGGTTTAGGGTTTAGGGTTTAGGGTTTAGGGTTTAGGGTTTAGGGATCCCTGCATCTTTGCCTGAAGGCCTCGTCGACTGGCTAAGACACACCAGCGCCGTCGCGCAGACTGAGTGGCGTTGGGGGTCCTGGATGGCTGAAGTCGTCAGGTCTGCTGAAGGTTTAGGTTAGGGTTCAGGGTTTAGGGTTTAGGGTTTAGGGTTTAGGGTTTAGGGTTTAGGGTTTTTGGGTTTCCAGGCCAGCTTGGTTGGGGGCTTTGTCCCTAAATGTGAGGGTTTCGGGTTTGCGGCAAGGGCTTAGGTGATTGCCCAGTTTCTCGTTGAGAGATGGAAGGTGTCCCTATATGGGTAGTTTGCTAAATTTGGTGTTTTGGGTCCTTGTGACAAGGGTGACGTATGCTGTAGGGGACCATAAAATGCACCCCAAGAAATTTCAAAGAGAGAACTGCTCCTACGTCCTCCAAATCTGTGTCCGAAAAAAGGTACACCTAATTTTCGGAAATCCCCAAAATTGCCTCAGCTGAAACACGTGTAGAATCCTATACATGCGACGCCCATCACAACCCTGCTTGAAGGTTCACGGGCACTTGTAGGGTTAGAAGTACCTGAGTTGAGGCGAGAACATGGGTTACGTATCTGTCTTATACCCCTACTTGTACTTACAACTAACCATGAACCTTCAAGCAGTCTACATCTCCCAAATTATTTCCCTTACTCCCGAAGTAACCCTAAACCCTAAACCCTAAACCCTTAGCTCCCCCTTCCCAACCTCCGGCTCGCATCTTTGCAGCTTCCTTGCGCTTTTCGGCATCCCCCTCAACCCCTCAAACCCGAAACCCCTAAACTCGAACCCTAAACCCTAAACCCTAAACCCGAAACAAGAAACCCTAAACCCTAAAACCCCACACCCCAACAGCCTCAACCCGACACCCTGAAACCCTACACCCTAATACCCGAGACCCTAAGAGCCTCAACCCCCACAGCCCGAAACCCCATTACAAGAAACCCCTACACCCTGAAACCCTAAACCCCTTAACCCCAACCCCCTACACCCTGAAACCCAAAACCCTGAAGCCCCCTAAACCCTAAACCCTAAACCCTAACCCGAAACCCTAAACCCTAAACCCCTGAACCCCTCAGTCGGTTTCGGGCCTCTTGAGGCTGTGATCTTTGCCTCGACGCCTTCCGCGTGCGCTCGGCGCCCGCCGGGGAACCCCCCGGCAAGAAGTGTGGAAACCCGGTTGGGTTGGGGATGAAGGGTTTAGGGTTTAGGGTTTGGGGTTTAGGGTTTAGGGTTTAGGGTTCGGGGTTTAGGGTTTAGGGTTTAGGTTTGGGGTGCGAAAGGCTTTAGGGTTGAGAGATTGGGCGCGGGGAGGGCGGTGGGTTAATAACCTCATTCAGGGTTCGGATAACCCCGCTCGGCCCGCTTCTAGGCAGCCATGAAGCTCCAAGTAGGTGCTGCGCTGGCAACCTTTAACCTTCTTGCGCATTACAGCCACTCTTACATCGAACTCACGGAAAGGATTCAAGGACCCTAAACCAGGATTCAAAGACCCTAAACCCTAAACCCTAAACCCGGCGCCCGTTTCGGTCTCTGTGGAGGGCCCCCCAGGGCTCTCCCTGCCGAACTTGCTGCCAAGGCGCGGAGATCTGCACCCACCACCCTCAGCACCTGGCCTGGACGTGGAAGATGTGGAAGAGTGGCTTGGCCACTCACCCTTTTTTCCACTTCTGGGGCCGCCGCCCCTGGAAGTGACAGACGAGGAGGCGGAGTTTGAGGCGGGCTGGGAAGCACTGCGCGACCTCCTCGACTCCGTTTCTGCTCGCGGCTACGCCGGGGCGTTGTGGGACCTCGATGTCTGTGACATCCCCGGCTTACTGCAGCTCTCAGAGTACGGGGGGCGGAGCACATCCTGCCCTCGACTCAGGGTGGTGCTGCTGACGATGGCGAGGGCAAGAAAATGTGGGCATCGTTTACAAAGACGAGGGCAGCGAGAAAGCGGGGCGGCCACGCGAGCTTGATCCGGCACGTCGCACTCACCTGTGTCGATGAGGCTGACGGGGAGGTGCAGATAGATGCCAAGGACCACAGCTACTACGATGTCGATTGGAATTCCGGCACAGTTTGGGCGGGGGTGCACAAGCTTGGGAGCGGGTCCATCGTGCACCTCGTGGGGAACATGTCTGCACCATGGCTGGTGGATGGGTGGATGCGGACAAGATCGCCGAGGCAACGGGGGTGAAGTATGAGACCGTGATGGCCGTCCTGAACCGCGATCTTTGAGGCCAGACTACAAGTTTCACTGTGGAGGAGCTGGGGGCCGCTGAAGGTGACTCTCAGGAACTGGAATTCGGGGGTGTTGCAATAGAGTGGGTGCGGGAAAGACGTGTGAGTGCAAAACGCATGCGACAGACCTGCGATGCCAAAGTGCGCCAACTTAACTTCGCCAACTTCAATGTAGGTGACCAAAACTTGGAGACTGTGGATAGCGCGACGAGTGAATACGATGTGGTCATTGTGCAGGAGGTTGCCAGGGGTGAGCCGGGATGGGGGCAGGTGGATATTTTCATTGGGTAGTGTGGCGGCATCCTGACAAGTGGAGAGGGCAGGCGGTGGGGGTGAGCCATGACTTGTGGGACTGCTCTCCTCAAAAGGCGGGGACCAAGCATGGGATGTGGGTTGTCTGCAGACTGAAGGATGGGTGTAGGATGGTGGTTGGGGACCTCCATGCTCCCACTGGGGTAACCCAGCAGCAGTGCTCTCTGATTGAGGACTTTGTAGCCGGTCATCTGCCCAGACGTCGGGGCTTGCCACGTGTGGTTGGCGTCGACGCGAATTAGAAAATTGCGTGGGTGGAAGACTCGCATGAAAACACCGTTGACCTGGCTCCGGGCTCGCCACGCAGGGAGGTCGTGGAGGAGAGGCTTCGCGGGCTGCTCCTGCGACCGTCACACGGGATGGGAGGCAGATCGATGGGGTGTGGACTGGGTGGGTGGGGGCGGAGAATTTGCGGTTCAGACCTGAGAAGCGCTTTGTCATCAACACAGATCATGCCCTGTTGCAATGGCGGATTCGGGTTGGCAGGGGGAAAATGGCTCACGGGGGGTGGAGTGCGGTGGGTTTCGTGATCCGGAACAGGTTGCAACCGCCGAGGTTCGAACGGTCGCTCATGTGGTCAAACCACCGTCAAGCGCCAAGCAAGCGACTACCAGGACACGGACAGTGTCCATGAAGCTTTGGAGCGAGTACGTGAACTGTATACGCGTGATCCGCGCCTCGATCTGGAAGGAGGTCCATCGTCGCAGACGTCGAGCGCGTCGCAGGTGGGAGAGGCAGAGAGTGGATGCGATCCGGGCGGGTGACTGCAGCTGGCATCCGAGATCCAGACGCACTTGGAGACTAGGGTGTGGAACCCAGAGAACGACTGGGAGGATGAGCTCCAGACCCTATTCGCACAGATCCCCGTGGAGGCGGTCAATGACTGGGTGCCCTTCCCTGTGCTGGATGTGGGCAGGGAGCTTGACAAGATGAAGCGACAAGCTGCTGCTGGTCCTGATGGCGTGGGGGTCGACCTGCTTTGGCATCTTCATGCTCGGGGATATGGGGCGCTAGTTGCTGTTGTTAATCGGGTCGTCAAAGGTGAGGAGACGGATCTGGGTTGGGATTGCAGCTTGCTCGCTCTCTTGCCCAAGGTTGAGGACCCGGGTGGCCCTTCTGACCTCCGGCCGATTGCAATCTCGAGCGCCCTTTCGAAGTTGGTGATGCGCATGATCATGCATAGGTGCTTCCATCTCCTACGGCGACCCTCGGATGTGAGCGCCTGCGGCAAGCATCGTCAGGCTGCAGACCTCTTAGGGGTGGCAACGCGGCTTCATGATATGTCTCATAATGGCGTATCCCCCTCCTCGTCGCAAAATTGGACGTGAGCGGCGCCTTTGACAACATCCGTAGAAGGGCGGTGGCGGATCACCTCATGACGGGCCTCCGGGGGTGGTTTGTGGAACTTGCTCCAGCAGCTGGGGGTGAACCGCCTTGAGCCAGAGGCGAGCGGGTCCATGTATATAGTCGCCAACAAGGGCATCCGACGGGGTTCTCCGGAGTCTGCTGAGCTCTGCGGGATCCTCATGACGCTGGCTGTGGAGTATGCCTGCGCTGATCCAAGGTGGCCAAAATTCAGGGCGGAACTTAGTGACCTGCCAGTGGAGGTTGTTGTGTACCAGGACGATGTCTTCCTGTGGGATGGAGACCCAACCCAGCTCGAGCAGAAGATTGCCGCCATTACAGCTGAGCACATTGCCAGACTTGGGCTGTCTCTCTCGCCTGCCAAGACGGCGGTCCCTGGCGTACAAGGGCGGTTGTTGGTGATTCTGTTTGTAGACTGGGGGTAACCTTCAACTTTGGGGGTGGCTCAGGCGAACAGGCGGCGGAACTGCTCCAGTGCGCTCGTAACGCGGCGTGGGCCCACGATGTGCTGTTGCGTGGGCAGGGTAGCAGGTTGGCCAAGGCACACATGGTCCGCAGCCTGGTGGAGGACGTATTTGCACGGGGGGTGGGGGCGCTTCGCTGGCCCCAGCAACAACTCCAAGAGGGTGCCTACTGGTGCCATGGATGGCCTACCTATACTTCGTCTGCTTCGTCTTCTACGAGTCCGGGTGGCGTGGGCGGTCTCGTGCAGGGGTTGCAAGATGGGCGTGACCTCTTCAGCAGACAACGAGCAGAGCATGAACGACGACGGCTACATGACCTCATTTGGGAGCAGGCTCTTCGGTCGACAGCGTTACGGGATGCAGCTCTTCGGGAAGGTATGGAGGATGCAGCGGTGGGCATTCCGGCAAAGACCCCCAACCCTTCAAGGCCTTCGATGGCTTCGACGTCTACTTAGCTTTGAACGGCGTTCATCTCTGACTGTGTGGGTTGGACGCAACAACAGTGGGAAGATTGGCTGGCGAGCTCCCAGCCATGGCTGCCTCGAGTACGTCGTGGTGATCAAACGAGACCTGGGGTGGATCACTGGATGGGGTGTGCTGGACAATTCAGATGGCGAAGTACATCCGTGAGCAAAAAGTACGTGCCACTCCCTATTGCGCCGTCGGACTCGGCACGTCCTGGGGAGCCTGCTACGGCAGATGATGCGGAGGAGTTCTACGTCAACGAGATCCTCAAGCCTGACCACGAGCAGGATTGGGTTGCAGGGGTGGACAGGTGGCGTGGACCTTTGCCGCCCATCGCATTATGGCCATGAAAGCTGCGGCCCGGGAGAAGGCTGTGCGTGAACAAGAAGCGGCGGAACAAGGGGAGTATCCTACTGTGGGGTGCAGCACGCTGGTGGAGTCTCTTCGTCGTCGGGGTCTTCTTCGCTGGGGCCTCATACTGGTGGGGCGTCTTCTTTGTTGGGGCCTCATACTGGTGGGGCGTCCTTCTCGGAACCGACCAACGCTTTGCAGGGTGCGGCTCTAGGCCTTGGAGGAGCTCTACAAGGGGTGTCAGACGACGAGATGCCGGCGGCGCCCCCGGAAGCTGAGGAGGACGAAGTCAAGGAGTGGGATATGGGCTGATGCAGAACCAGCTCGTTATGCGGCGGATCAACGAGATGAGGCAGTTAGAAGACGCGCAGGGGGAGGTTGACGCTGCGCTGGCGGGAGCACATCGAGCGCCATGTGGGGTGGAGGGCGTGATCCCCGAGCTACGCTGGGGGGTACGGCGGTGGATTGAGGAGGAAACTCGGAGCACGCACTTCCTGTTGCAGATCCTTCGTCGGGTTGAAGTGGAGGTCCTGGGGTGTGGTGGTGTGGAACTGCCCAGGGAAAGAAGGCTCAGGCGGGTGAGTCGAGAGTGCTTGCTTGGGCGCGCCAGTTCAGGGATAGGCTGGCCCGCATTGCGATAAGGGAGGGCCAAATTTCGGTGCCGTCCAGCACACAATGGTCGCGCTCTCCGAGGAGGGTGGTGGGTGGTGACCCTGCTTCTTCCAGTTTGAGGGCGTCATTTGTGGGGGCGACGAGGCCAACTGTGGTGGCTGTCGATGGTGGGGCGCTTGAGGTTGAGGAGGGGGCCCTTGTGGTGGAGGACGGGCTGCTTGCGATGGAAGATGGGCTACTTACACCGCAGAACGAGGTTGCGATGGTGGATGGCCTCAGTGGTCCTGGAACGAGTGGTGTGAATCGCGAAGTTCTGGAAGAGGGTTTGGAGGGTGACCATGATGCGACGGCATTACTGATGGGGGCGACCATGCTGCTGGCAGCCAAGTCGGGTGGTGGTTTGGCGCCGTCCTCGGTGTCTACGGAGTCCTCGTCTTCAGTGTGGCCTGGGATGAACCTGCGCTACGAGTGGGGAGGATATGGGGGAGGTGGCATTGGCGATGGGTGGACTTCTCCTTCTACTACTTCGGGTGGTGGTTTGGCGGCGTCCTCGGTGTCTACGGAGTCCTCGTCTACAGTGTGGCCTGGGATGAACCTGCGCTACGAGTGGGGAGGATATGGGGGAGATGGCATTGGCGATGGGTGGACTTCTCCTTCTACTACTTCCTTGGAGCGTTGGGTGGTCGTGCACTCTGGGATGGAACATGATGGAGGTGGTGGTATGGGTGCTGGAAAGTTTGGTGGTCGGGATTCGTCTTCCACTACCCTGACTTCCTTGGGTGGTTGTGGTCTACATGGTGGTGTGGAGAAGGAGGAGCCCGTGATGGAGGTCGTGGACGAGTACTGAGGGTAAAAGGGGAGGTAAGGAGATGAGGTGGTGGTGGAAGCGGGGGGAGGTGTTTCACGCCGACCGGACGGCACTTCATGCCGCGCAGTCTCTGCGATTCCGGTTTAACAAAAAAAACCTAAACCCTAAACCCTAAACCCTCAACCCTAAACCCTAAACCCTAAACCCTAAACCCTAAACCCTAAACCCTAAACCCTAAACCCTAAACCCTAAACCCTAAACCCTAAACCCTAAACCCTAAACCGACCCGAAACCCTAAACCCACTAGTTGACGGACCCCGGGGGCTGCCCTCGGGTTTTTGTTCCGAGGCTCCTTGGGCGTTCGTTGCTGGAGTTTGTGGACATGCAGATCTACACTGAGCCTGGGGGACCCAGGTTAGGGTTTAGGGGTTGAGGGGTTTAGGGGTTAGGGTTTTGGGGCTTAGAGGATCTGTGATCCGATGGCCCAGGGTTTGGGGTTAGTAAACTTAGGCTTTGCTGTACAGCTTGGGCGGAGGGGGAGGGTGTAGGGATCTGGAGGTCGTGTAGGGTTTAGGGTTCAGGGTTTAGGGTAGAAATGTGGGGTTTGGGGTTGTTGGGGATAATGCTGGTGCGTAACTTTGTCTTGACGGGGGCCTAGGGTTTGACGTTTTCAGGCTTCAGGGTTTAGGGTTTACGGTGATTTGATTAGGGTGAAAGGAAGGCTGTCTTAGGGTTTGTCCTTTTTTGTTCGGGTGGTTGGCTTTCAGGGGGAATGCAGGCCATGTTGAAAGGTGTTGCGGAACCTCGCAGCTCTTCAGTTCTTTCGGTTCTCAGCCCTAGTGCCGATACTCGCTCCCCGCACTTCTCCGCAAGTTCCTGGAAGCCCCATCCTATGTGCTTCCGAGCATTGAGAA